GACCCTGACCCTGAGACCCTGACCCTGGGACCCTGACCCTGAGACCCTGACCCGGAGGCCCTGACCCTGAGACCCTGACCCTGAGACCCTGACCCAGAGGCCCTGACCCTGGGACCCTGACCCGGAGGCCCTGACCCTGAGACCCTGACCCTGGGACCCTGACCCAGAGGCCCTGACCCTGAGGCCCTGACCCTGAGACCCTGACCCTGAGACCCTGACCCGGAGGCCCTGACCCTGGGACCCTGACCCGGAGGCCCTGACCCTGAGACCCTGACCCTGGGACCCTGACCCAGAGGCTACTATGGTCATTCACCCTACATCTGTACTGACGGACGCTACCAACTGTCCTGTGGTAAGTTCCGTACTGTCTGCTCTGGGCTCCGGGGTGCACCATGTACCCCAGCCGGGGCCGTGGTGTGAAAGCATGTGTGTGCACACGTGCAGCATGTGCACGTGATGGGCATGTATGCACAGTGCGCACGTGGCATGTGCACGTGTGTGGTGTGCATGTGTGACCACAGTGCGACACGTGCACATGTGATGTGCATACGTGTGGTGTCATGTGTGTGTGTGATGTGCATACATGTGCACACGCACACACGTGGATTGTGTGGTGTGCACGTGTGTGGTGTGCACGTGTGTGACCGTGTGTGATGTGTGTATGTGCAACGTGCATGCATACATGTGTGTACAATGCACATGTGGTGTGTGTATGTGTGACGTGTGCATATGATGTGCATATGTGTGCACGTGCGTGTGGTGTGTGTAGGGGTTCAGCCACCCCCTGGCCATCCTCGAGGCCGGAGTGCGGTGTGACCTGACGTGGCACCTGACCCTTCCTGCAGACCGAGCCCTGTGCCGGGGTCCTGGGGAGCGGGCCGTGCACCTGCCGCCCGGGGGGGGCCTCCCCTGCAGATGGGGGCGTCCGGGGTGCCAGCCACAGGACAGCCACTGCCCCCCACTTCTCTGGGGACAGGAGATGGAGGGCAGGAAGAGGAGGGGGGAAGCCTGGCGTGGTGGGGATGGCATAGAGCCCTGGCGGCCTGGGGGGGTCAGGTAGGGGGTGCGGGGTCCCCGGCCTCGTGGGGGGCGGCGGGTCTCCTCCAGCACCAGGGCCTCGGGCCGGCGGGGCCGGGCACCCCGCCCTCCGCCCTTCTGTGGGCTGTGGTGTGGCCTCCCCGGGGCGGGGCCCCTGGAACTGGCTCTGTTGGACACAGCGTCTCTCAGCCTTAGCCAGGGGACACGGGGCACACGCGTCCCCAGCCCCTCACCCCCGGGACCCCGCTTCACCGAGCCCCTGAGCCCAGAGACCACACTTTGAGTCTCAGCTCCCGGACCACCACGGCAGGCCGGACCTGAACCCCAACGGATCAGGATGACATTGCAAATCTACAGGAGCTGGGGGCTGCCAGAGGGCGGAGCGGCACCCCCCCCCCGCTCCCACGATGGGGGGTCAGCGCCCACAGAGGGGCCTGGGCAAAGGCATGCCCAGGGGCCCGAGAGGGACGGGACTGTCGGGCAGGCCTCGGGCATCCCGTCGTTCCCTGCTGGACACGGGGTCATTGCCCACGTGGGGGCCCAGGGCGCAGGGCCGTCCATCCAAGAGCTTGCCCCCTCCCCCCCTCCCCCCTTGCCCCCCCATCCTCGTGGGGCCTCCCCCCATGGCCAGCTGGTCTCACCTGTCAGAGATCTTCTCCGAGCCCACGAAGGAGCTTCTTCGGAGGAGTCCGGCCCTGGTGCCCAGGAAGGCCACGTCCACGCCGGGCCCCTCCTCGCTGTGGGGCACGGAGGGGGAGGGCTGGGCTGCCGGGCCGGGCCCCACGCCCCGTCCTCGGCTCCCGGCGGCTTCCCACACCTAGCTCTTGATTTGTCCCTGGCTTCGTGGGGTTGGGTGGGGTGGCCAGGAGCCCGGGAAGCTTGTCCTGACGGGAGATCGGAGGGGCGTCCGCCCGTCCCCCTCATCGTGCAGGTCATTCCGTGGCCTACGCGGGAATCCTCACACCCTTTTACAGCTGCCTGGGACTCCGTCGTGCGGCTCTGCGGCGACGATTTCACTAGTGTGCGTGCCTTATGTGTGTGTGTGCGTGTGCCCGGCAGCCGCGGTGTTTGGGGATAGGTGTGTGCTACCTTTGAGCCTCTCGGGTTGAAGTATAACTGCATATATAACTGGCCACGGAGGAGACCCTGTTAGACCTGTCCTGGGGAGGGCGGGTCTTCCTGGAGAGGGAGGGACTTCCTGAGGGAGGGTCTTCCTGAGGGGGGAGGGTCTTCCTGGGGGGCGGCTCCGGCCCAGGAGGGGTGAGCTGGGCTCTGGGGGTTGTCAGTGTGCGCAGCGCAAGGGTGCTGGGAGGGGCTCCGGCCAGGCCACCTCTGGGGACGGTCCTCCGGGACTCCCCAGGCCCAGGAGCCCCCCGTGCCCATCACCCAGCACCCACCGCGGCCTGCCGGCCCGAGGCCGTGGGTGGCACTTGGGCTGCTGCCAGGCTGTGGGAGGCCCTGACTCAGCCCGGGGTGGGGGGCTGGGCCCGGGCAGCAGCCGTG